GTCGGGGTGCTGACGTACATGGCCAGGGGTCATGGCTGTGTACGTCAGCATTACAGACTCACAGACACTGGGCTACCGTATTTATTGATAATCTTCATTATCCTTGTTCCCATTACTGCTGTCATTTGGAACTTGAAATCTGCTTTTCACATTAGTCACAGGTGGACTGAAATAAACCAAAAAAATATGAAACAAAGAAAATCGGGGTGCTGACGTACATGGCCAGGGGTCATGGCTGTGTACGTCAGCATTACAGACTCACAGACACTGGGCTACCGTATTTATTGATAATCTTCATTATCCTTGTTCCCATTACTGCTGTCATTTGGAACTTGAAATCTGCTTTTCACATTAGTCACAGGTGGACTGAAATAAACCAAAAAAATATGAAACAAAGAAAAAAAAGAATAAAAAAGATTGTAAATTGCACTTACCCAGCATCTGTGCCATTGCCACACAACAAGTTGTCCTTGGTGCCATTTTTCTTAAGAAAATTTTCTACAAAAAAAAAGCATAGTATATCAAAAAATACTTCTTAAACAATCATCTAGATTAGTATGAATGATCTTGCACACATGCATGCACACAGATGGGTAAATTTGGCAATTAATTATTTTAAAAAGTTACTTTCATGCACTAAGTTTGCTAGGGGCTGCTCTTCACCATTGACTCTGGCTAATCGTTTCATACTGGTGGAGTACCATAGTTGACAGAAGAGTGAATGGAGTTGATTTACTGCAGTTAAGTAGACACAATAAATCGACAGCCAGTAGATTGATCACTTCAGCATCGATCCAACGTGTTGTGAACCAAGCCCTCAGGTAAGATCTGAAGGGTTTAATCTTTTGCAGACAAAAGTCTATGGACCTACAAATATCAAGGATATGCAATCTTGATTATCTCTGATTAGAATGTGGTTTAGGAAAAAATGTGGAGAGATGACCGATATTACTCATTTAAGTAGACATTTGAAACTACCTTGGACAAAGACTTTTATGGTGTAAACGATATCTTAGAAACAAGAAAAACTGTATACAGACATTCTGCCATGAATCCCTGTATTTCCTCAATTCTCCTAGTTGATGCAATTCCTACCATAACGGAGGCTTTCACAGGTCAATGTAATAGTGATCATGTTGTTGGGGTTCAAATTTAGGTCCATCTGACTTGCAAACACTGTGTTGAGCTCCAGGGTGAGGGAAAATTCTAGTTAGTTCTCTGAGGAATTCAACTGTTTTAGGATATTGTACAGCCTTCAATAAGAAGCATACTGTAACAGAATTAACTGAAAGTCTAGATTTCTTTAGAGATGGTAAATACTCCAAGATAGTAGATAAGTATGTGTTAACAGAGGGTAACTGGGGATTGTATATACCTAATTGTAACTTTTTCCCTTTAACAACACAGGTTTCTTTGGTGAAATCTTTCCTACTATTTATCCAAAATATTCTTGACATCTGAAAAACAGTTCAATCTCTGGACAGAGAGATGAAGCAGAGAGGGGGTTCAGATGAAAGATGTCCCCATTGTCCTGGGATATCAAGTCTGGCGTTATGGGTAAGGATTATGAAATAATAAAACTGCTTCAGACTAGCAGTAGCAAGCAAGATGACCCTGGCAACATCTTGCTCAAATGTTCTGTGTACCCTGGGAATCAAAAGAAATGGTAAGTAAGCATACAAGAGTGTCAAGAAAGGTTTCTAAATGGAGGGGTGACAGAGACTATATCTATCAAAATGAAGGTGGTGCAAATTCTAACGAACCTGAGAGGATGTAGGGTAATTGTCATGTGTGTTTGTCAAATATTTTTACATGGACCAACAAACCATTGACAAGGAATGTCATGCACCCTGACATTCTGGCATGGAGAATGTCCAGCAGTTCCTGTGGGGACCCCTGCATCTCCCTTAAAGACTTCTGGAGGCATTCATCTCTATCTGCTTTAGCAGTTCTTGGAAGCTCCTGCAGTAATCTGGATAAGACAGTGTAGAAGAAATCACTGCTTCGTCTAGAGATGAGGACTAAATAGCTAAAGGCTCTTGTAAACTTTCAGTCTGAGGAAGTTTCTCCTCCTCAGAAATTTTCTCTATTGGCTCATGATCACATGGCATCATTTAGTATTGGCCACTGTTGGCAGACAGGATACTGGGCTAGATGGACCTTTGGTCTGACCCAGTCTGGCTGCTCTTATGTTTTTATTCATAAATCTCATGAGAAGAGACCCTTAGGGAATGAGTAGCCATTCCCTGCCCCCAGCTGTGATTCACAGGATGAATATGCATGTCCAAGAATCACCTGTAAGGTGCGGGAAATGCTGCAGCACTGGGAAGCATTAATTAATTGAATTCAATCAGATTCTGATGGGGATTATTGACACTGGAGTGGCAATTGCTGGGTTAATGGGACCATTGGATCAGGAACTGAGAGGATATAAGTGAGGGCAACAGAAAGCTGGGAGAAGTCAAGGAAACTTAGAGGACGAGCCTGGGTTGAGGAGAAAAGACTCTATGGAAGTCTCCTACCGTTGTAAGCCTCCAAAACACACTGTTAATACTTTGTAAAGGATGAACAAATACACATATGGTAAAAGGTAACAGCCTAGTGTGTGTTGTGGTTAAGAGGTTAAGAAACAGGCCAATCAGTTCAGCATGCTGGGGACCAACCTGAGACAGTATCCTACAATAAAATGTACATTATATACAACATGACCAAATGAACATTTGTGAAAAATCCTTAACTTTTGAATTCACTGATCTCTGCAATGCTTCCAACTCTTAATATTGCCTCGGTATCATATTTTAGATTATTAAATGAAAAACTATTATAAAAAATCAGACGTCTATCATACCACCTGTCACAAAGAACATTTGAGAATACACAGGAAGACTTGAGAAGTTTCTAGAAAATGCCAGAATGAGTGAGAAATGATGAGTTGAGGGGAACCCCACCCTCAGGTGGGAGCAGGTGCAGTGGCAGGTTGACCGGTGGGCTGGGTTGGGTGGGGCATGGCATGGCGCCTCCCCAGCAAGTAGACGATAGGTGTGGCAGGGAACTGGTGACAGTGGTGGTACCATGCAGACTTGTGTCCGCTGGGGTGGGAAGCTCAAGGGCCTGAGGGTGGCGGGAGCAGCAGAGTGCATTGCGGGGAACCAGCTTGTGATCCATCAAGCAGCTGCTGCCGTGGCATAATGATTTTTCTGAGCAGCACATTGGACCTGGGGAAAAAAGAGACGTGGGAGATGCTGCAAGCAGTGGGGGTGGTGGTAAGTCCCTGCCTGCCATGCTCCACCCAACCCTTCCTTGACCCCCTGAGATGGTGGCTCCCAGGTCTTCGAGCACCCTAACCTCCCCCATGCCTACCCCCACATACTGCCTGCCCCACCCTGCCACCACATCCTCCCAACTCTACCACCTTTCAACCCACTAAACCACAGTTGTGAGGTGGGGCTCGTCAGGGCTTTGCTGGAAGCACCATGAGATGCAGCAAGAGCCTACAAAGTTTGTGCAGGCTGGTGCAGGCACAAGCTATGAGAATCTCTCTATAGGGGGATAATCAAGCCAGATGAACTCAGAGTGATGAAAGAGAAAAAATTTGTTGTTTCGGGTCATGATATATTCCAGGATGAAATGGAGCTGAGCCGTAGATGGTTGGACTTCCTTCTGGGTGCACCACTGTGTAAATCATCACCATCTGCACAGGTAAATATCACGTGTAGTTTGTCTTCTGCTATGTAGTAGTACAGTTCTTACTTGTTGCAAGCACTGCTGCTCAGCTTCTGAGAACCAGACAGGTACCATGCCATCAGATGCAGTATTTGCGGCTAGGGATGAAGGATCACACCCTTGCTCTCGGGGTGTGTCTAGACTACATGCCTCCTTCGACGGAGGCATGTAGATTAGCCAGATCGAAAGAGGGAAATGAAGCCGCGATTATTTTAATCGCGGCTTCATTTAAATTTAAAGGGCTGCCCCGATCTGCCGCCAAACAGCTGATCGGCAGATCGGGGCAGCCCTTTAAATTTAAATGAAGCCGCGATTATTTTAATCGCGGCTTCATTTAAATTTAAAGGGCTGCCCCGATCTGCCGCCAAACAGCTGATCGGCAGATCGGGGCAGCCCTTTAAATTTAAATGAAGCCGCGATTATTTTAATCGCGGCTTCATTTAAATTTAAAGGGCTGCCCCGATCTGCCGCCAAACAGCTGATCGGCAGATCGGGGCAGCCCTTTAAATTTAAATGAAGCCGCGATTATTTTAATCGCGGCTTCATTTCCCTCTTTCGATCTGGCTAATCTACATGCCTCCGTCGAAGGAGGCATGTAGTCTAGACACACCCTCGAAGAGGAGGTCTGGGAGGGTTGGAAGTGGGCAGGGAGGCCGTACAGACAGCTGATAAAAACATGAGAACCATGTCTGCCAATGCCAAGCCGGGGCTATTAGAATTGCATGACCCCTGTCTGTCTGTATCTTCCGGAAAACTCTGAGGATCAGAGGTATAGGAGGAAAAGCATGTAACAGGTGAGTATTCCATGGGAATAGCATTGCTTCTCCCAAGATGTTGTGCCCTATGCCTTCTCTCAAACAGTATTGGGGGCATTTGGAATTTCAGCTGGTTGCAAAGAGGTCTATCTGTGGTTGACCCCAGGATTGGAATAGATCGTGGGTGACCTGATTGTGCAGTTCCCATTCGTGCTCTGTGACAAAGTGGCAGCTGAGGGTATTGGCCATGGTATTCTTGTCCCCAGGTAGGTATGCCACCATAATGGTTATGTTGGGGCAGATGCACTGAATCACCTCTGCACATAGGGAAGGGGATCTGGCACCCCATTGACAGTTGATGTAGAATATCATGGTCATAGTGTTGGTGAGGTCACCAGTTTCCTTGGGTATACTGTTGCTAGAAGTCGGGTACCTCAACTTAGAAGTGACGCATTGGTAGTGATTTGTTTGGATGGTTGATCTCGGTGGAAAGGCACCCCGCTGCAGAGGTTCTGTGGCTGGGTCCAGCACTGTAAAGAGGCAAGGACTTTCTGAGGAGGTGAAACGTGCCTGTGGATAGGTGTCGGGTTGGTGTATAGACTGAGGCAATCAAGCGTTGGAAACATTGAAATCATAGTCTGGCACGGGGGATGACATATGTGGTAGCTGCCATATGCCCTGTGAGTTTGAGACAAGTTAGAATGGGAACAGTTGGGCTGCTGGTCATTATTGTGACCAGGCTTTTTATCATTTTGAAACATTGATTGTGGAGATAGGTACGTGCTGTCATAGAATCTATATGAACCCCTATAAACTCTAGGGACTGAAGGAAGGCCTTTGTGAATCTGATCATGTCTGTTGTGGTCTGTTGGGAGGGACCTCGAATGAGGCAATCATCCAAACACAAGGGAAGATTGTGATGCTTTTTTGTTGGAGATGCACCGCTGCAACTGCCAGGGTCTTGGAGAAGACTCTGGGGGCAGAGGAGAGTCTGAATGGAAGAACTCTGTATTCAAAGTG